GAAGAGTTCCTTGGAAGGAACTAGAGTTGTTTCCAGAATCTGAGGGGTCTGGAGACCCATGCCTGGGTAGGAGTGGAGGGGGCCCAGGTACAGCCAAGGTTTCCAGGCTGTCGTCCCCTCTGGTGCAGCTGCCGCTGACCTCGCAGCACCTCACAACTAGTGCAGACATTCATGTGACTTCCAGACCTGAGCACTTAAACAAAAAAAAGTTTTATTGAGATAAAGTTCCCAACCATCACCACTAATTCCAGGACATTTTCTTTCTTTTTTTTTGGGTTGGGTGGTGGCGTGCAGGGTCTCACTCTGTTGCCCAGGCTGGAGTGTATGGCACCATCTCAGCTCACTGCAGCCACCACCTCCTGGGTTCAAGTGATTCTCCTGCCTCAGCCTCCCAAGTAGCTGAGAGTACAGGCGCGTGCCACTACCGCCCAGCTAATTTTTGTATTTTTAGTAGAGACAGGGTTTCACCATGTTGGCCAGGCTGGTCTTGAACTCCTGACCTCAAGTGATCCACCCGCCTCGGCCTCCCAAAGTGCTGGGATTATAGGCGTGAGCCACCGCACCCGGCCAGGGACATTTTCACCAGCCCAAAAAGAAACTCCACACTTACTAGCAGTCACTCTGCCTTTCCTCCCCAATCCTCCCAGACCCTGGCATTCACTGAGCTGCTTTCTGTCTCGGTTTTTGCCCATTTTGGTCATTTCTTATACATGGAATCACACGATATGTGGCCTTTTGTGAACTTGGCATGACGTCTTCAGGATTCATGTTGTCGCATGCCTCAATTCCTTTTTATTGCAGACCTGAGCACTTCCATGTATTACCCCATTTAGTCCCCATTCCCCAGATGAGTAAAGTAAGGCTCAGGGAGAGGTAGTGACCTGTCCAAGGTCATATAGCAAGTCAGTTGAGGGTGATCAGGCTAGAATCCAGGCACTTCATGATCAGAAAGGGGCTGGGAGCAGTGCAGTGTAGTCTGGGGGGCACAGCGTGGGCCTGGCAGTTATGGAAGGGAGAAAGGGTAGGGGAGCAGGCAGGTGCGTCCCGAGATGTGAGGATGGGACAGGACGCCGGAGGTGCACACCCATCCCCAGCATCCTGTCTCTGCTCCATAGTGGGTGTTTACTCTATCTCAGGCATGGACTCTTGGAAGGCTTTTCCCTGTGCAAGCAGGAGGCTGTGCAAGTTCAGGGATTCTGACAGAAAACAGGACTTTGGGCTGGGGTGGGGCCTTGGACATTAGGCTCAGAGGTGAGAGTGTTCTCTTGTCCCAGAGCCAGCAGTAGCTCTCGGCAAGGGATTTCTTGGGAACTTGGCTGGTATCAGCAACCCTGGGAGGTAGCTTGGAGAAATTGATTGGACCTAAGTAATGCCATTATCCCTGGCAGGAAAGGGAGGGAAGGTGATGGGCTGGTGAGGGATGGCGGAGAGAGTCCCGTCTCAGAGCTTGTCCCTGCTGCCAGGTGTGGTGTGAGCAGCATGCCTCCGTTAGCAGAACTTCCGGGCACTTGTCTGAAGTATGGTCCAAGAAGTCCCTAGTGCTTCCTGCTCTTGCTGCCCTGTGTTGTTCCCTGGGGACATGGGGTTAACGCAGACCATCCCATGGGGGAGGCAGGCATGTCCACAGTGCTCTCACAGTATGCCCAGTTAAAGAGGGAGGGACATGCCAGGGATATGGGAGGCTGGGGAGACCTCTAACCAAACTGGGCCTCCATGGAGGAGGGAACATCTGACGCTTGAAGGATCAGGAGGAGTTCACCAGGTGAAGGGAGGCAAGGCTGGAAGAGCAGTAGGGGTCAGATCCTGGTCACTGCCTGTTAAGAAGTTCAGTCCAGCTGCAGGTGAGAGCTTGGATTGGAGGGATGGGGCTGACAGCAAGGAATCTGGAGGAGTCCCCAGCCAGGGGAGATGAAGCCTTGGACAGGGGGAGTGGCTGTGGGGATGGCGAGAAAAGGGCCTTAAAAAAGGGTGGTAGAGGGCAGTGTGGCTGAACTGGGTTTGCAAGGCCTGGGTGACAACCCTGGAGACATCCAGGAGCTGCTGGCTGTCTCGATCAGAGGCAGAGCCTGGGTGGCCTTGGCAGCACCTGGTAACTGAAGCCGTGGGAGTGAACAAGATGGCCGTAGCCAGGAGAGCATACAGAAGACAGAGAAGAGGTTTGCCTCCCAGAGAATCCCCTACAGTTATGAACAGGGTGAAAATGCACCTTGGGGAGAGGAGACTCTGAGAGCCAGAATCAGTGAAGTTCTGGGCCGAGGCATGACGCACACACTTCTACTTCCCTCTTTTCCAGGTTTGAAGTGGAATTTCCATTCCTGGATGGGTTGTAATGTGCAGGCGTGGGGACAGGGGAGGGGCAGGCAGAGGACATGTGGGAATTAGTCCCGGGGCAGGGGAGTCCTGGGAAAGGAGTGTGAAGGCAGGGGAACCTGGGGTGGGATCCCACATGCATTGCAGGATGTCCACCTGTTGTACCTCAGCGTTGCAGTACCTGCTGGCACCTTTCCCTCACACTGCCCCCAATTGTGTGTCCTATAGAAGTCAAGGCAGAAGCTGTTACTCGCTTTTACAGATTCAGAAACCAAGGTTCAGGGAAGAGCCTGAGTGGCCTCAGCCACAGAGCAAGTCAGTGCGAGGCAGCATAAAGCTAGGCTTCTTTCCACATTGCACCTGCCTCCTCCCTTCCTGGGGAGGCGGGGGCAGATGTAGTGGCGGACATGACAGTAGAGACTCCCGTCTGGGGAGTGCACAGGGTGAGATCTGGCTCCCCTGGCTGTGGACCCTGGCCTCCCACCCCTGCGGGAAGGCTGGGAATGTGGGGGTGCCTATGTGGGCACGCAACACTCCCCAAATCTTCTGGAGTATAGTAAAGCTGAGAGCACCCCACACGAGCCCCCACCCACGGTCTCCCCAGCCCCATGGGAGCCAAGCTGTATCCCCACCCCAGCCTGCCCCAGGCCCTGGCTCAGGGAAGCCCCAGCAGCTGCACCATAGTCCACATGCCTCCCCAGGGCTCCCCAGACAGAGGCTGCAGCAGTCCATTCCCAGCACTCAGGAGACTCCAGGTCATTCAGTATTCCCAGCAAGCCCCTAATGCATCTTCCCCCTCAGACTGCAGGCTGTAATGTCATCACTGAGGTGAGGTCAGCATTGGGTGTTGGTGTTGGAGGGATAGGCAGAGGCCCTGAGTGAGGCCTGGTGGTGGAAGTAGTGAGTGGGACTGAGTTTTCCTTTCCTCCTACAGTGCAGCCCCTGGGGCTTTGGAGAGTGGCATCTTAGGAGCTCATGTTCCAGGCCTCAGCTCAGTGCTGACTCCAGGGAGCATACTCTGACCCTCCCTGCACCATGGTCAGTGCCCACAGGCTCCCTTCCCTCCCTTCATCATACACTGCACTTACCATACGGCTCGTGGGCCATTAGAGTCCAGTGACTTCAGGAGTCTGCAAACTTTCCCTCTGAAGGGCCAGACAGTCAGTATTTTAGGCTTTGCAAGCCATATGGTCTCTGTGGCAACTACTCAACACTGCAGTTACAGTTAAAACAGCCATAGACAATACATAAATGAATGAGCATGGCTGCGTCCAATGAAATTTTATTTATGGACACTGAAATTTGACTTTCATGTAATTTTCACGTGTCACAAGATATTTTTGTTTTGACTCTCACAACCATTTAAAAACATAAAGACTATTCTTAGCTTTTGGGCTGTACAAAAATAGGCGGCGGATCAGATTTGGCAGGCCCATGGGTTAGAGCAAGGTCCCTGGAGCCAGCCTGCCCGGGTATGAATCCTGGCTCTGCTGAGTGACCTTTGGTGAGTGGCTCAACCTTTCTGTGCTTCAGAGTTCTCATCTATAAAATGGAGATGATGATGATGATACTTTGGGGATGTAACATGGTGCAGTCACATTGGAAAACAGTTCGGCATTTCCTCAAAAGGTTAAACATAAAAGTTACCGTATGATCCAGATGTGGTGGCACACCCCTGTGGTCCCAGCAACTCAGGTGGATCACTTGAGTCCTGAAGTCTGAGGTTTCCATGAGCTATGATCGCACTACTGCACACCAGCTTGGGCAACAGAGCAAGACCTTATCTCAAAAACAAAAGTTAACATATAGCACAGCAATTCTTTTTTTTTTTTTTTGAGATGGAGATTCGCCCTGTCACCCTGGCTGGAGTGCAGTGGTGCGATCTTGACAACCTCTGCCTCCTTAAAATCGCTCCTTTAAGTGATTTTCCTGCCTCAGCCTCCCGAGTAGCTGGGATTACAGGCGCCCACCACCACGCCCAGCTAATTTTTGCATTTTTAGTAGAGATGGGGTTTCACCATGTTGGCCAGGCTGGTCTCGAACTCCTGACCTAAGGTGATCCGCCCGCCTCAGCCTCCCAAAGTGCTGTGACCAGCAATTCTATCCCAAAAGAAATGTGTACCCAAAAGAAATGAAAACAAACGTTCACACAAAAAACTCATTCACAGAAGCATTATGTATAACAACCCAAAAGTGATAACAACCCATATGTCTTTCAGCTGATCAATGGGTAAACAAAATGTGGTAGATCCGTACAATGGAATGTTAGACATAAAAAGGAATGACATGCTGATCCGTGCTACAACATGGATGAGCCTTGAAAACATGCTGCATGAAAGAAGCAAGACACAAAAGGCCACATATTGTATAATTCCATTTATATGAAGTCTCTAGAATAGGCAAGTCCATAGAGACAGAAAGTGGATGGGCAGTTGCCAGGGCCAGAGGAGTGAGGCCGGGGTAAATAGGGAGTGACAGTGCATGAGAAGGGTGCGGGGTCGGGGTGGGGGTTGTTAGGATGGTGAAACTGTTTTGGGATTAGATAGTGGTGATGGTTGTACAACTTGTGAATATACCAAAAATTGAATACTGTATATTAAATACTGAATTGTATACTTTAAAAGGGTAAATTTTATGGTATGTGAATTATATCTCCATTTTTTAAATGCGAATACTTCCTTCCTTCCTAGGGCTGCTGTTACAGTTTCTGCATGGAAAGCATTTGGAACAATGCCTAGCTGTTCCCCTCTCTGGCCCTCTCAGGGCCCTAGGAGTCTTTGTGTGTCCTGCTCACATTGTCTCCAGGGCCTCGGATAGGGCCGGGTACAGAACATATGACTGAGTTTCTGGGTCCCACAGGCCAGGGTTGGAGTCCTGACACCTCAGTATAGCTGTGTACCTCTGGGCAAATAGTTTCTCTGTTCTGAGTCCCGGGTTTGTCATCAGCAAAATGGAATAAGAATAACTCACAGTGATGTGCAGGACTGGATGACACCTGATACTCAGGGTGTGTGAGGTGCCCCAAGCTCATTGCCACGTGGTCACACTTGACCAACACTGGCCCCCGGAGGCTGTGGCTCCCACAGATATTTCCAGGGTGCCAAGCAGAGCTGAGGCAGTAGCTCCTGGCAGCCACACTTCAACCCTTAAGACACCTCTTGCTGCTATACCATCTTCCCATGGGCTAGGAGGCCCACCTGGCTAGGAGGCTCCCTGTGTCTGGAGAATGAATACTTTGGGGCACTAGAGCAGTTCCTAGATTGACTACGGTCCAGTTATGAGACAGCAGCCAGGCATTGCTCCTTGTTCTCTGAGCCTCAGTTTGTTGAGCTGTCAAATGGGTTTAGGACACAGAACCTGCCATTTCATATGGTTGTGCTGAGATGGAACAATGAATGTAAAGTCGTTACACGGTGCCTGGTGTATTTTAAGTGCTCAACACATCTCAGCTTGTATGATAATTTCTTCTAAAATGTTTATTTTGAAAGTCTGCTATGTGCTAGACACTGTTCCAGTTACTGGGAATACAGCAGAAAATACAACAGACAAAAATCCTTGCCTTCATGAAAACTGCATTATAGTAGGGTAGATAGACAGGAAAAATAAACAAGTTATATTTAAGGACAAGATTGAGAAAACAAAGCTGAGAATGTGGGAAGGAGCTTAGGGAACGTGGGAAGGGGCTACAGTTTTACAGAAGGTGATCTGGGACAGTGTCATTGAGAAAAGGACATGTGACCTGGTGCCATGGCTCATGCCTGTCATCTCAGCACTTTGGGAGGCCGAGGCAGGCAGATAACCTGAGGTCAGGAGTTCGAGACCAGCCTGGCCTACATGGCAGAACCCCATCTCTACAAAAATATGAAAATTAGCCAGATGTGGTGGGCACCTGTAATCCCAGTTACTTGGGAGGCTGAGGCAAGAGAATTGCTTGAACCTGGGAGGCAGAGGTTGCAGTGAGCTGAGATCACGCCACTGCACTCCAGCCTGGGTGACAGAGCAAGACTATCTCAAAAAGAAAAGAAAAGGACATTTGAAGACCTGAAGAGAGGAGGGGAAAGAGGAGGAAGCCGTGCAGGTTTCTAAGGGAAGAGCATTCCAGACAGAGGGGACAGCAGCATGCCAGGCCAGTGAAGAACGTGGAAGAGGTCAGGAATGACTGGAGGAGAAGGAGTAGGGAGGACGAGGGCCTGGGTGGGAGGCAGAGGACAGGTCCTTGGGGACCTGCAGGGGTGGGCCTGTGACTCCAAGTGAGACGGAGCCCCACTGCAGTGCTTTGAGCAGGGGTGACCCTCCCTGACCTAGGCTACAATGACTTGCTATGTGGTACCTGACTCTTCACCCTTCCCCTGCCTCACCACCCTGTGCTTCCTCCTGCAGGACCAGCTGGGGGCCTCCATGGGCGCCTGAGGGCCAGGCGCCAGGGCTGCAGGCACGAGTATGGTGAGACACCAGCCCCTGCAGTACTACGAGCCACAGCTGTGCCTCTCCTGCCTCACGGGCATCTACGGCTGCCGTTGGAAGCGCTACCAGCGCTCCCATGATGATACCACGCCGGTGAGCCACCCTGGAACAGGGTCAGAGGGACTCAGTGAGCCCCAGCAAGCCTGAGGGGCTGGGGGAGGGGTCTTACCTCTGTCTCTGCTGACTCGCTCTGGACAGGCCAATGGCCTTTCTGGGTTTCAGTTTCTCCCTCTGTAAAATGGGCTGATAGTAATTCCTGAATCTGCTGACCAGGAGGGCCAGAAGGAGTTCGTCCCGTTGACATGTTGTTAACTCTCCTCTGACATTGTTGAGGTTAGGCTGCTCCAGAAGGGAAGAGTCACCCCAAGGTAGGCAGAAGTCCTCAGCGTTCTGGCAGACCCTGACAGGCAGGCAGGCAGGCAAACAGGTGGGTGCTGGAGGAGAGAGTGAGGAGGTGGGCCCGGCCATCCTGGAGCCTGAGAGCTGGCAGGGCCACGGTCTGGCACCGGGGCTCAGTCACCTGAGCCACAGGCTTGCCAGAGCTGGCAGCAGGTGCACAGCCGGATAAAGAAAGCCTCCTTCAGTGCTGGGCTCCCCAGGCCAGACCTAAGCTGCACTCTTGTCCCTGGGGCGCTGTCAGCCGGTGGATCTAGTTTCTTCTCTGAAGGAACCCAATTCCTGTGTAGTGTTTGTCTAAAAGCTTTACTGTCTGGAGAACAACTTTCCTCCTCCTTCCTGCTTGTCTGAACAAAGAAGCCAGCCTCTAAATTCAGCCAGCCCCAGAAGAGGCTGGAGTGGCCAGGGGGTGGCAGGGTGTGGGCGGC